CACAGAAAAATAAATTTTATCTAATGCATTTATTTAGAAATGGCATATTTGAAAGATTACTTAATGAGCAGAATAATTGCCATGCTTCATTCTTACATAAAGCCTCACAAAATTCGAAGTTCGGTTTCGAAAAGTTCTTCGAGTTTGATACTTCAGTTACGAATCTTCATTAACCGTCATGGCCTTTCAGTTCGTCACGAGTGAAAAGGGAAGACAGAAACGTTTAGTGGGAGGTTACTTATTTTTCAAAGAAAAACAAGCTGACAAGACATATTGGAAGTGTGAGACGCATCATAAGCACAATTTCCGTGTTCATGTAATAATAGTTGGAGATGCCATTGAGGCCGTGAAGGGAGTTCACAACCACATTCGGGATGCGGCTCATGTTGAAGCTTTGGAGATGGAGAATGTTATACGTGATCATGCAATAAGTAGCCAAAAAGCACCACATATTATATTTAATTGTGTTTGTGGGATTTTGTAATAATTCTGATAATGTAATTATATCAGTTTTGTCCAAAATATTGCCTGCTACCGTATCTGTTGATTTATTCTCATTATCATTTACCTGTTATTCGTGTATATCAGATTTTTATTTTATATCTCGTTTAGCAAAAAGTGCTTTTGGTCTGTTTGTTCAAACAACATACTTTCGTTTTAAAATGGTTCGATAGGATAGGTTGAAAAGTGCTTAACTGGATTTCGCTATTACGGATTACTCTGTTCTAAGGCAGCTTACTATATGAATGAATTCCCTGATAAGGCAAGATTTGCAAGTAGCATCTTCGATGCGATCGGGACCATCTAACGTAACATCGAAGTACAGCTTAAGCATAATGTGGTTGCACTTTTAATGATGCTTCTATAATTTGAAGGAAATTTGCTTATGAGCTCGAAATCTGAATGTAGGATCAGATCATTTTGTCAGGTTTTGCGGTCATATTTTTATTTCATATATACTTGCCAGATGTTGTTGCTATTCGATGCGTTGTGCGGAGAATTTTAGTTAGTGCCGTCGTTGAATTTATTTTCAAATATGCTTGAAAGTTTAAATTTTTCTAAGAAATACTCCAAAATTTGAAGTGTCAGAAGCGCTGGTGATATTGAAGCGACTTCAAAATGGTGAAAGAAACCAAATACTACGACATATTGGGCGTGAAGCCGAACAGCACTGAAACAGAGTTGAAGAAAGCCTATCGAAAGCTGGCGCTGAAGTATCATCCTGATAAAAATCCGAGTGAAGGTGAACGGGTAGGCGTTTTCTAATTCTTATGCGAGGTTATGATAATCAGAAGTTGATCGTTTAGTTCAAACTTATCTCGCAAGCTTATGAAGTACTGTCTGATCCACAAAAACGTGAAATCTACGATGAAGGAGGTGAAGAAGCCCTGAAAACTGGAGGAACCGGAGGAGGATTTCAGTTTTCTTCTCCGATGGAAATGTTTCAGATGTTTTTTGGCGGTTTGTTATTTTGCCTACTTTTGATCTTTTAAAGCTGTATATGCAAAAGTTTCTGTATGCAGGAAATTTTGGTGGGGGAAGAGGTAGAGGCAGTCGTCAAAATCGAGGCAAGGACGTTATTCATGAGCTTAACGTTCCTCTAGAAGACTTATATAATGGAACTACAAAAAGGCTTGCAGTACAGAAAAGCGTCATTTGTGATAAGTGTCATGGTGCTGCACGTTATCGTTGCCGTGCATAAACTATTTCAACGACAGATTATAGGTCGTGGCGGTAAAGAAGGGACAGTGCAGAAGTGTGCCAACTGCAAAGGTTCCGGCATACAGGTGCGAACTCATCAAATTAGCCCCAGTATGATTCAGCAGACGCAGACAGTTTGCAGCGAATGCCATGGAGAAGGCGAGGTACATCGATATTGGATTATAATTTTGGTTATTTTTATTATTAAGGTTATTCCTTTGAAAGATCGTTGTCGCTACTGTCAAGGTAAAAAGGTTGTCCGCGAAAAAAAAATTCTGGAGGTGCACATTGATAAGGGTATGCTTTTCAAAATTTTAAATTACTTGTACCTTTATGTACGTTGTTACTTTCTCCCCGAAGGACATCAGTAACTTGTTTCAATATTTTGGCGAAACACTAATTATGCGGTGCGTTTCTTTTAAGCGATAATGATTTTCATTCTCCTCATGAGAGTTTTATTTACATTTCTGGTGAAAGTAAGTTTATTGTAATCGACGAACAAACACGAAATATTTTGTTCGTGCGTTGATAGTCACTGAAATTCGGCTTCGTATTCCACGGCCTACTTAAATACAAGACGGAACAGTTTGTGTGATATATGCTACCTAGCAAACCAATTATGAGAACAGACGTTTCAACTCTAGTTAAATTCGCATAGTTAGCGAAACCCGCTGACTATTAATGACTGGTATTGTTGAACTTAAAAAGCGCTCCCCCTGTGGGACTCGTAGTTGACTATTGCATGCCGGTTTCACCTGCATTGGCTTGTAAAAACTGATTTTCTCTCGTTCTTAAATACTGGAAAGGCAACAATATGTGAATTTCGGTATTCTTTGCCGTTTCAAGCTCTTCTTTCCCTTGCTTAATTCATCTCAGTTTTAAACTCACTAGTAAATGCTCTGTAGTTCGTTTCGAATAAGAAGTACATTGCTTTTAGTTTAAGCTCATTTGAATACTGATGCCGCACGCCTGTCGTTTATCTTAAGTTAAGCGATTTCTTAGATTTTAAACGGACGGAAATTTCTCTGTACTTAAAGCGGTATGGGCAACGTAAACGTTTAGGAGTCTGTTAATTAATAGTTGTTCGATATTTCTGTTGTCGAACAGACCTTGAAAAGACTTACAGGGTGATGTACTGCTGATTAACCGTGTCGGCAATGCTTTCGATTGTTTGAGTATTTACATAATCTCCGGGTCACTCTGTTATAAAATTTTTTCCCTTAGCCTTAAATTCTGTTTCGTTACCCAGCGTATCATTACTGATTGATGGAATTGTTGTATTTGCTAATAATCATTTGTTCTTTGAAACCTATACTCTCTTGTACATCGTATTATATGGAGTGTAATGACAAGGTAAGTACAGTGATCTCGTTGACCGCGGCAGTAGCCATAAAAGCTGGTATGCACCCTAAAGCGGTTTACCAAGTAGAAGAATCTATAAGATAAACGTTACCATTGATATCCTTTCCTTGCTCCCTCTCGGTACATTTCACCCTAATCTGATGCATTAGTATTTATCAAGGCCCTTGATTAGGATGACCTCCCGAAGTTCCACCAGAAGTAGCCTCCTATCCTGACACGGAGGTCAGGCATCCAGATGTCCACTGATAAGTACGAATCGTTGATGAGTGAATGCTATACCGTAGCAGGCTGACTCATTTGCAGGAATTCAGTTTCTTAATGGGGTATTGCTGATGCAGAACGATGAGAAACCTAAACTACGTTTTTATTTAGAAGCAGCAGAGTGAAATGCGAACATTCTTATTTCTTACAGTTTCGGTATCCGATTCTTATTAATAACGTTCGACGAAGATTTGTTCTTTGAAAACCGTTTTTTATGCTGAAATGATCTCATCATCACGATAGTGACGCATTTGACGATTTGACATTTCATCTTACTTCCATGCGTTTTTTTATACAGTGAATCTCCACCCAAAATATTTTTTGTTCTCATTTTGCTGCCCCACTATGGTGTTCTTTCTTCCCTTGCAATCAGAAATATTTCTAGAATCTGTGATGTATGGCTGATCGCAGTTGCATTGTACAGGCGCATCCGTTTAACGGAGTTTCGTTTTTCAGGATCACAGGGTCTGTCGAAATAATGAAAAGATTTCACCATATTTCTTTGGTCGATAACCCTACGGTTCTTCTGTCTGGATTTTTAATCACTGTTTTTCTCCTAAACAGATTTTATCTGTGGGCATAAGAAGATTTATTCATTGAATCTGTTCGCTTCCTTTGCTTGTTTAGGTTACCCTTATGGAGCCCAGCTCAAGTTTTTGTTCCTAACCTAGAGTTTAGGTGGAATACATTTTGGCGTATTGAAATTTTGCATGAGATTTTATAATTCTGCTTTAACTCATTTTCTTTGTTATGGTTGCTACAACCTGGGTCGGCTTTTCAGTTTGCTGGTAATACTCTGGGAGTCAGTTTATCAGTTCTTGAAACTACTTTAAGCATGTGTTGATTAGAATTTTTGTTGTTTTTCGCTAAAGTTATACTAATCGAGTGACGGACACGCCAAGCAAGTGACTTGGAAATTGTTTAAACACCAGATGGCGAAACATGCTATGATTTCTTAACGCAGCTCAGCTGCAACTGCCATAAAATTAGTCAAATTCATGAGGGACGAGGGTATATATCGATTAAGTTTAGTCTTGTATTGCAGGAGGGAAATTTGTAATCGTTCACTAGATAATCCAGCGTTCAGTAATAACAGTTCTTTCAACGTCTTTCAGAGATTAACGCCGATAATAGGCATGCATTGCCATATCCATATTTAAAGTAGTTTATAATACAGCTCCGGTTTATGTTTCATGTCCTCAGCAGGAAATTGCTTATTTCGAAGAGTGTGTTTACAGCGGCGTGGCAGACATTGTTTTAGTCTGTTAGTTGTGTCTCACCTGGTGCAAATATATGGAGGGAAATCTGTTCCAGACCCCAGTTGTTTTCTGCCGAAGCTCAGACTCTGGCAGAGGATCGGAGACGTTGAAAGCACTGTCTGACGCGTCTGCCTCCGCGACCCGAAAGGAGAAGCGGTAAACGAAGCAGCGTCCCTTTTTCTTTCACGCGGGAATGAAAGGCGAATGAATTCCTGTACTCTTGCCATTCAGTGAACATCTTATTTTGATAAGCGCTGCTAAGATTTTTTCAGTTATCTGCAGGTATCGATGACTGGAACCAGTAACACGTTCAATGAGTTTAAGTGTTTTCGACGAATTCAAAACTGGTAAAAATACTGTTATTTCCACACCGGAATTCAGAAGTTTAATTTTTAAACCTTACTTTGTTGAGTTTTTATGCAGAATTGTGCAGTAAGCTGAGACCAACAGTTGTAGTTTATCAGTAGATCATATTTACCGTTTTATATACAGACAAGGCTGTAATTGGCATTAATGGCTGGTAATCAGAACTGTGTTCACTCTGCAATGTGTCACTACATAAATATTTGTAATGATGAATAAACTTTCCAGCTTCTCAATCTGGATCTTCTTTGTCGTTGTCATCGTTGTTTGTGGCTAAATCGAACCTGTGGAGGTGAGTTATTAGATAAAGATGATGTCTCGTTTGTTTTAAACCGTAGCAGAATTCATCATGGGGTTGCTGGCTGCTGCGGCAAATTATTGTTACAAGTGCGCATAGATGTTTCTGCTACTACGTTTCTAATAAAAGTATCCATGACCTATATTTGTTTTCAGCATGTTCGCGTCCAGTATATATATACCATGAAAGAAAGTTGTAATGAAAGTTTCATGTATTTCCTTAACTTTTCTGTCAGACCGGTAGTGTTCGGTCTTTGTACTTAAAAACTTTCCTTAGATTCCTTAACTCGTTCTTGATCCAGTTTTTGTCTTGCTAATTTCATCTTCATTAAACTTCGGGTGTTTCAATATACCTTTCCATGATTATATTTTGCCTATTGGAAACATTTTAGGTTTACGTTAGGTTTTGCTACCTGAGACATTCCTGATTGCTGGTTACTCACTTGTGCACTTTCGAAACGTCTTGCAGATAGTGTGGCTAAAGCGGAGTACTCAAAGTCAAAGAACGACTTAGGGTTGATGTTCGTTTCCCGTTTTGTTTGCCTGTATTTCTCGATCGATCGTCGATTAACCACAGATATCATCACTATTCTGTGGTACCTTCATTTGCATTGGGTTGATTTGAATATCTATTCCCATAGCCATTTGGCCTGCACTTTCTATGAATAAGAATAGAACACTTCTAGAAGCACTTAGTAGCAATATGTCTTCCGCATTTTTAGGGCACTGTTGGATGTATCGTTATGTACTTTGAGTTTTAATGTCGATTAATCGTAAAACTATTCGTTATATTTCAGGGAATTGCTTTCCGCGCAACTTACTTTCGTCAGGTTTACCGCGGCGTCGTAGTAAGAGTCATTCACTTCGCTTCTATTTCTAATTATTTTTCAATTTTGCCGACGTGTTTGTTCTTTTTTATAGTCGTTTCTTAAGTTTGATTATCTTTTTTGGAATTCCGTATTGTGGTAGCGTAATTATGCACATTGTCAGAAATTATCTGAATCAAAAGATGTCAGAAGATCGATAAAAATTGAATGCACCGGCAGCTTGAAGCAACGCTTCTATTATTCTAGTCGTTACAAGGATCTTTGTCACAGGGTTATTCTCCCAGAATTTTAAGTGATTTCTAACTGATTTGTTCGCAGCGGATGAACAGCATCTTTCTTCAACTCTTCCCGCATTAGTCCATTTGAGCATCTTTCGACTACTTCTGAAATTGGTACAGTCGACCGTAGCCATTATAATCGTTTTACTTTCTTCCAGTCTTAGATTAATACCGTAGTCTCCGAAAAGATTTCGTAAAATTGACAGTTAGCCTACTTTATGAATAGAATTTCTCCTTTGTTCTTCAGGATTTGCCTACCAGTGCCATATTGTTTGCATGATTTTAAACCTATCGATTTTCTTACAGTGACGGCTCGATGCAGATTAACGTGTGACTACTGTGCGTCTTCATGCAACGTTCAAGGTTTCCGTAATTAGACCTGTTGAAGAACTTAAATGCTCAACCCGTCGTTACTGTGGCTCTCCACGTCTTTCAGCTGCCCACTGGACTTGTTGTATAGTATAGTAATGCGACTCTTTTCAGTGTCGGTGGTTCTGAAACTGTGACGTGTCTGAGCATCCCGTTCTAGTCTGTTTTTTGCTACTGTTTCTAATTTAAATGTTTAGTGGTACTATATTGTATTGGCTACTGCTAACTGTTTAGACTAAATATGGCTTTTGTCTTAGCGGCTTGTTCTTCCTTTTTTGACTGACCAGAACTGAAAGTTTCCTTTGAAATTTTGTGTTAGTTTATTTATTTGTTAAAGACAGTGGTAGCTGATACACATGGTTTGCAGTGGTAGCTGATACAGCTGGTTTGCAAAACCTTTATTATCTCAAACCTACTCTGAATTCACATCTGACGTTTTTTGTATTTTTGTTCGTGTTTTCGGTTATATAAATCGTGTATGATTAGTCACTTATGGTCAGCTGTTTGTGCCATAGCACAGAACACAGATTTGTTATTCCTTATTATAATAATGTTATGCAAATAGTTTTGTAGGCATGGAAGACGGCCAAAAGATTGTGTTCAGTCAGGAAGGTGATCAAGAACCCGGCTTACAAGCTGGTGATATAATAATTGTTCTTAGCGAACAAGAGCACCCAATTTTCACCCGTCAAGGCCGGCATTTATTTATGAAAATGGAACTGGAATTGGTAGAAGCTCTATGTGGATTCCAACGAGGCATAACTACGTTGGATGGTCGGCAGCTATTGATTTCTGTTTTGCCAGGTAATTATAGGAGGTCTGGAAGTTATGCTGTTCAGATGAGGAATCTTGTTTTTTGGAAATCTAAGAGTTTGTAATGAGACGTGGCTTTTTGCTGAAATTGTGCAAGTTTTGACTTTCACAGATATTTTTATTCATAAAAGTGATGACAGTGTGGTATTAACTTCATTGATATTGATATTTGTTTGTTACCAACTAACAACTATATATTATTCACATGGTATATGAAAAATCCAGGTGATGAATGTCTTCTGACAACTGAATGATTTAGCTCTCGTAAGTTATCGTGACTTGGCCCGCCCTGCTTATTTATAGTAGACGTAATGTATAAAAAAATGATTTCTGTGGTTACTGAAGCTAATGATTTTAATCGTCATAGGTTTTTTACTATCCACAAATTACTGTTGGATGGAGGCCGCTATAAGAATTATAAGAATTTTGCCACAAAATCCCCTGCGTTATGATCCACGTTGTTCTAACGAACTTCTTGAACTGGCCATCGATTTGGAAGTAATTCCGCGGGTCCACTGT